AAACACAACAGCAAACAATCAGGTTGATGCGGCCGGTAGCTTTTAAACAGCACCAAAGCTTTTCAACAGCCATTTTTACATAAAATACAAGCCAACTGAGCCTGTGTGTTCTGACAGAGCAACCAGCCTGTAGGAGGAATGGCTTAGATGCATGATAGAGAGAAAAGGCCAAAGGTCAGGTAAAAACCGACCATTAAAGCCCACTGCATTTCCAAGACACTAAAGACCCAATTTTCTTGCAACTGTAGTTTGAATGAATTTAGAGGAATACAGGACTTTCAAATGAAAACCCAGCATGGCATACCCTTGACGAATTAGGACTACAGTAAAGGCTTAGTGTGGGCAGAGGTCAGACGTGGACAGACAGTGACAGAAGACGGCACACCTTAGGAACCTTGCCCTCAAGGGCAGGAGGTTCAGTGGTAGGGAGAGACTGTCCACTGGGCCTTTAAGGGACTAAAGAAAGACAACATCTTGGAAATAATAGTGGACAGAGAACTGATGGCAGCTACAAGCAGAGGTGTGGATTTAATACAGAGGAATCTGAGCTTAGTTCATTCTTCAGTGATAGGAGAATGAAAGCATGTGTTTAAGAGTGATAGAAAGTGTGCTGAAGCCTGTTGGAAGGAAAGAGATGGACACTGACTCTACAAAGACAACTGTACCTTGTCTCTGGGAATGGCAGATGGCGGATCTCTCATTCTGTTGCGTCTCTGCTCCTATAAAACCAAACATTTGACAAAGGCAATTCTGTCAAAGCCAAGAAGAGCAGCTGACAAAAATATTCTCAATGTTTAAACACAGTTTCATTTGTTTTTTTTGTTTTTTTTACTTTTGACTAAAAATTGCATTAAATAGATGTATTATGCGTGGAGACTGTGAGAGCAGAAGCTAATCTTACTTCTATGTTATTGTTCATGAGGCCACAGGCATCAGCAAAGTCAGGGTGCTTTGTGTTGATGTAGGCCAGCTCAATGGCAACAAGGTTATGAACCTGAATTTAAAAAAAAAAAAGACAATAATCAGAAAAGGATGCAAATAAACTTCCCTTAAATGCTCAGAGGTGTTGAGCAGGACCTGACCATTTCATTGGTAACCGGGAGTCTCTTTCTGAGTAACGAGGTGACCACTTCTACTATGGCATCATGGAGCTTTGGAAACCTCAATAACTCCTGCAGAGATGAACAATCAGCATCATTAGCAGGTTATATATTTACACTATCCCTCTGTGCTTTAGTTTTAGTGGTACATATGCACAGTATGTATGTATATGGGAGTGTGCTTCTCACCTGTGTGCTGTAAGTGCTGCAGTGCTGGATGATCCTCTGCATCTCCTCATGAACCAGCTCCACGCAACGCAGACTGGGCTCCTCTAGACGCTTGACCTGCCGTTTCACCAGCAACTCAAACGAAACCTCTGGCACAAATAAAGCAGGCCTTGGGCCCTGTTAAAGCCGATGGGAGTATACATCGTCAAAAAGGTGCCATTTAAAACAGAAATTTCAGGTTACAAAGGCAGCTAAAACCAACCGTCGCATTTCTGATTGCTGTGAGCACATCGATGGTTGTTAGACCACCAAGAGGGTCAACTGACTCCAATGTGCGACCAAACGTCTCATGAAATATATAACAGATTCTTGCTCCACCGCATCTGAAAAAAGGAAAGAACATTAAACATACCAGCAGAATTTGTTTTCAGGTGATTACTCAGGAGAGTATTGATGCTAGAGTTGAGAGAGTTGTCCAACTCACAGTTCTGTTGTTTCAATGTACTTGGCTGTGCCCTCTATGGTGTTGCAGTACTCTGCAGCAAACTTGGTGATGAGCTGTAGCAATGTGGCGCTCTTGTCTTCGACAGCTTCACCGTAACTGTTGAGTAAAGACTGGTACTGGGTGGCCAGCACATTGATCCTCGTCTTCAGCTCAGGAAGACAGTCTCTGATGTGGTGCATCAGTAACCTGTGGCAAGAAAAAGTATTACACAAATTACACTTGGACTGAAAAACAAAATGGGGGATTTGTTACAGACTACAACAGCATGATATGATGTAAGATTTAGAGGTATGTTCGACTTTATCAAGAAGGGAGTAAACTTCAAATCACGAAGGTCAGTAAGCAACTCAAACAATTCATGTGTTCATTTTAAAAAAGTGAAAAAAAAAAAAAATCACTACATTTGGTCTAAATCGATACCTGTTCAATGTTCTGGCCAAGTATTTGGTTCCATTTCTGTTTGCGAGGGAGGGGTATTTCTTTTGTAGAAAGGTGTATTCATCACGAATAGAATCTGCCACCAACTTCTTCTGATTGATATCCAGCTGGCTCCTAAGAAAATACACCAGTTTTACACATGCCTTGTTCGTCCTCTACCCAACATGTACAATAACTGTAATTGAGAATCCCTCTAAGTTGTCTTAATTCAGCATGATATTAGAGATGAACATGGCATATTAATGTAGTGGAACCTGTTGACGACTCCAACAATGCCCAGTTTGACAGGAATGACTCTCCCCATCAACACATCCATAGCATCTGTACCAGCATCCATCAGATCCAGCTTGGTCACCACCGCTAGCGTCCTCCTACCTGAAACGCACGTACACACATGGCTGCAAAAACAGTACTGTGATAAGGAAGGCAAAAAGCATGTGACTGGAGGACACAAAATAAAGAACAATAAAAGACAAAAGTAAAGACAAACATCAAACAATGAGCCGATTTACCATCAGGATCAACCTCACGGGCTACTTTAAGGGACTCTGAAGTTGCCATATCTGTGTTGGCAGCAGTCACAGCCAGGATGATGGAGTTGGGGTTGGAAATGTACTTGAGGATCAGTTCTCGCATTTGGAGCTCTATGTCCCTAGGCTGGTCCCCGACAGGGACCTGTTTGAACAAATGCACATTAGCTTCACAACATGACAGCAGTTCTACACAGTTCACCAAACTAAATTTAAGACCTTTCCATACCTATTTAATGGTCATACTGTGTAAAGAACAATGTAAAAGCAGTAAAGACAAAAAGGCAAATAATTATTTATTAAGTCCATCTATTTAATGACATTTATGCAACATGTTTGTCAGTGCTTCTAAGCTGTACATAACAATAATTCTTAGTAATATAATGAATGCAACCTACACCCAGGTAAGTGGCAGAAAATCGATGACTTGACTAATCAATACATTCTGTTATTAAGCTGTCACTAATCCATTCTGAATCAGCGAGTTGTGCAAGTATTGTGGCCAGCAGTATTAATAACAGCAGCCTCCTACATGCACAGTCCACTGCTTCACCAGTCTCTCTTGTCGTTTATAGGTATATAAAGTTAAAATTAATGTTTCTACTTATAGGAGGTAAGAAAAAAATATTCAGGACTTTCATAAACAAAATTTAAGACTTTTTAACACCATTTGAGGACTTGTGTTGAGAAAACATATTTTTCAAAAACATGTTTCAAGACCTGCTGATGTCCTGAATTAGATTCGTTTGCACGATAACTTTGAGCTCATACATCAAACCATTTGCACATGGGGAAGCAAAAAACAAAAAACAAAACAAAACAGGAAAACCTTACTTTGGTAATGCCTGGAAGATCCACCAATGTGAGGTTCACAACATGTGGTGAGAAGATTTTCAGGTGAATGGGTTCATCGCTAATACCCTAAAAAACATCTTCAGTTACTTTAATAGGCTGATGTTGCTAGAGTCAAAGTCTCAGGTTAATGCTGACTTTTGACCTTCCCTCTACCTGGAAGTCAGTAACATACCTTGTTATTGCCAGAAATTCTTTCAGTTTCTGCTTCAATTTCTTGCCTGATCTCATCAAAGTCTGTGTAGACCTGGAAGGGCAATTTAATGGAGAACGTTAAGGACTCCACCACAGTGTTACACAAAAGCAGAGTCATTTACAAAAAATAAAAACACTTCCTGAGCTGAGCTCTTTAATGTCATGAGCCAATCAGCACATCATTAGTGCTTCTGTGTTCAAACAAAGGGAACCATGTGGAGTTTGAAAGGCACAATTCAACCTTTAGGACATTTACCTTAAAGCCCTATGAATATTTTAGCTGCTGTGTGCCTGATCTCAGTACAGCTTATACGTGTTTCTTTTGAAAGCATACCACAAAACCACAGTATCTAATCCATAAATGTATTCCACAATCACACCTTGGTGGATGCTTCTATATACACTACAGCAGTAGACTCCACTGAGAGGATTGCTTTGTGGCTCTACCTTGTTCTTGGTGTGGAGGAATTTGCCCCATTCTTCTCCATCGATGCCTGCAGAAACACAAAAGTTAAGGACAGATGTTTTGGTTACTGATGTGGCCTTGAGATCAGAGTTACTATTTTTACTGTCACTAATGTCTGAATTGGGGATTCATCTACTGGCAAATCTCCAGTAACAGCTTTTTTTTAAAACAAGAATAAATAAATAAATAAATGAACAGTAGAACAACAACGACTGAAGCAAATTATAGCATAAAGCAAAATAAATAAACAAGATAAAAATAAATCTAATAAAACATACATTTTGGGAAGCTGTGACCCAGAGGGTGTAAAAGAATTTCAAAACAACAAAGTAACACAATAATTCTCAACAAAAACAAGTAAACAGCCTCACAAGGGTGGAGTCTGTTAGTCACTGTGAGAAAGCTGGTATTTCTTAAGGACGTAGAATCAGTAAACAAATGTCTTTTTAAATGTAAAACTAAGCAGAAAGTGATTATTTCAACTGAAATCTGCTAATTTTCTTTGTCTAACTTCAACTGACAGAGACCAGCCGGAGGGGTGCGAAGGGCATGAACTGAATAAAGTGAAGCCACATGGGTTGGCAGCTTTGGAAAAGCTACACAAATATAAGGCAAGAGGGGGCAAAGTGGCAAAAGAGGAGAGGGGAGGTTGTGTAATATGCAAACACAATAAGAAATAGAACAAGGAAAGGGAGACCTCTGTAAAAGCGTCCACTTTTCTTGGATTCTGTGGTTAAAAACAGATGACAGGAGACAAAAGGGTTAGGCTGACTCTGCTGTTCTGGTCAGTCAAAGTAAGTAAAGTTTTACAGTTTCTGCAGAACATGAATTCTGCTGAACATCATTCTACACTAAACCACACCTTTGACTGCAAGTGGATTTATTTTGGATGTCCACTACTTTAAATTTTTTTAGATGCTATAGTTCCTGGTAGGGTTCCACTGAAAACAGATGACTATGCAAAATGCACATTAAATGCATATTCACAAAAATACTATTAAGCCCCTTGGGTTGTCAGAGAAATCAATATGTAAAGAACTCAATGGCAACCAAAAACCACCAAAGATATAGAAGAAGCCAAGGTTACAGTGATGTTACCATTCTCTTCACAGGTTTTTCTGCGGTCCTCTGGATCGATGTGCACTAACTGTAGAATGAGGGGCCGGCGTGTGACGATGCCAGTACCACGTGGCAGGATGTCCCTGCCAACCAGGCTCTCTAATACAGAACTCTTCCCACTGCTCTGTAGAGAATAACACCATCGTAAAAAAAGTTGAAACTGAAGTTTATGACTCACTCATTGAACAAATCGGTTCTCTCATTATACAGATACAGGCAAAATACAACTGTATTTGACACTTTTTTGGGCTGTTACTTGAAAGCTACTAGGTTGGTATCACTGCACAAGCTTTCAGACGCCTCAGGAACATAAACTGCATTTGACTGGAGGAACCAGATTTCAGGTTTAGTTGCTCAGACAGTTTGTGGTACTGAATGTCACTCACTGGTCAAAGAGAATTCTTGTGGTAGCTTCAGCATGTGTACAGCATTGAGCCACACAAGCTCTGGAAGCCACTAGGCAAGTAATTCTTGTTTGTTGCGTGGTAGAGTAACAACTAATGAGATCTGGGGAACTGAAATATCTCTTCAATAGACAGTTCTAAGTTTCCTCAGTTGGAGAGGAGAACTAAAAATAATCAGTTACTTCCTAAGTTTCTGTAAATCTGATGTTGTTCTGAAAAACATAAATAGACCTAATTAGAGACAGGACTGGCATAACCACATATTAATACTTCCGTCAGGTCTCAGTTAGAGCTATTCTTAACTGAAGGAATTTGCAGAACTGATTGTGGCGCTATGGCATGAAGGCTGGCAGACACCTGCCAGAAGCTCTGAGACAGTCACATCCTATTAGTCAGCCAGTGAGAGCACTGTGTTAGACAAAACCTGACACTTTAAACCAGTCAGGCTCTAATGTGCACATAAAGTAGTTAGCTGGTCAGGCTAAACCAGTATTAGAGACGATGTGCCTCATAAAATGGCAAATGAACACAAATTGTTCTGTTCTATGTGAATAAGATGCAACATAACAAACCATGTTTCCCATAAAGAAAAATACTTGGTAGTGCGAAAAGTACGAGGAATGTCTTTATGTTTAGAGCTTAAACGATTAGTTGATTAATCAATAAAGAGGAAAAATACAGATATAATTATTATAATCAATTAGTTTTAGTAACTTCCAAGCGAATTTCAGCCTCTCAAAAGAGAAGATTTGCTGTTCTTCTTTGACATACTGTCACTGCAAACTGATTATTGCTTTCTATTTTTTACGAAGAAAATACGACGTGAAATGACCAAATTGGCATCTTTCAAAGACTAAACGTTAACGTTTCATTAAGTGAAAAAGTAAATTAAATAATCGATAGTTGCATCCCTGTTTAGGTAACAATCTAAACATAATCGGGTTAAAGCAGATCAGAATTTAATTTTCTTTTTAAGATAGCGATCTGAAGGACCCTAGCTGTCAACCAAAACGTTGTTTCAGTACTTTTTAAGTAAGATCACATGTAGCTAACTAATGCTAACTTTGCTACTGCTAAGGTAATTAACACAGATATGCGTTAGAACGAGACGTTTATGTAAAGCCAGCCTGTGCATTTAGTTGTGTTTACTTCACCTGCACAAAACTGAAAGGAAAACTGCAGTACAGCTAAATTCCAGAAGCAGTCAAAACAATAAGTTAGCGCCGGCTAGCTAACTTGCTAGCCGTAAAGCAAAGTGACGTCTCTCACCTGAGTTCCCACAACAACTATCTGCGGCAGTTGAATTATGTCTGCGCCGACCGTATTAAATACATCTTGCAGCTTGTTTATGACAGGTATGAGGGTCTCCATTAGCTCCGATACAAATCCAGACCTGTCAGATAGACAACTCTCTATACGGGAACGCACGGGTACAAAGTCATTCAATGTCCCTCAAGCTACTGGCGTCTCTTTGGACCTGCTAAAACCTGCGCACACAGTTCCTCAGAGTTGCATCATGGGAGTTTGAGTCAAACCGAATTGTGCTGAAATACAATGTGTTCACGAATCCATTTTTTCCGAACTACATTTCCTACAAGCGACATAATAGTCGTGTTGCACCAATGAAAAGAAACATAATGCTTAGTCTACGCAAAGGTAACTAGGGTGAATACAAAAATATTTACTGTATGTGTTTCACTCATAAAAAATTACATATATTTATGGTAAAAAGTTATTTTAAAGAATGTGCCTAGCAGCACTAGGAAAATTAAATGGCAATACTTCACAATCTCAACCACATACATTTTTGTGAAATGTGTAGTTATTTGTGTTCTGTATATTATTGTTCCTTATATTGACTCTTAAAGTGATGACGTGAGGAAAAAAAATGCTTGCATCAATACCAATGGGTCACATTTTGTAGTCTCAGTCCTCATCTACAGTACATCATTATCATTCAACAACATACCCACTGTTACACAACATAAAAATAAGTAAACAGAAATAAGTTCAGTTTGGTCTCTACCTTTTATTTTTCTAAATACATTCTTTAAAACGAACACACATAGGAAATTTGTCAAACTTAAAGTGCTTAAGGATATTTTACAATAGATCAATATAGGGAATAAATATAGGCTGTATTGCACAGCACACTGTCAAAGGAGCATGTACTTGTTTACAGAAGTGAGGTAACAAATGCTATGTAAGGAAGAAGTGTTTAATCATCTACAGTACGTTCCAGGGGGTTACATCAGCAAATCAACACTGCTGTGAGTAGCCATCACATCACAGAACAAACCCCAAAAAAAATGTTAACCATCCCAAATTGTGCACAGTCCTGGGTTTTGCTGACATTGCTCCCCATTTGACAACCATTTGACAAAGCAAAGCCCCACCAACACCTATTGTTTCTGCCTTTAGTTGTGATTTGAACCTTACAATAGCAAAACCTATATAAAAGAAGCTAAAAACTGTACAGAGGTATGGTGGCAGGTAACCTAATAATGAACTGTGTATTGTGTGTCATATTAAGCAAGACAGCTTTAGTTCTCATAACAGTAAAATGTAATGCTTTCAAATTCAGCTATCAAATGAAAGTGCTTAAAAAAATACTGACAAAATACTCTCTAGTCAGCTTAATTCAACAGTAAGCAAAAAACTACTACAATTATTTACAAATCCATGAACAGACACAGAGAATAGCTTGAACAAAACAGAGCTGATCTGAATTAGACCCAAGCTAAGTAAGATACGTGTATTCAGTGCTTATCATTCTGTGCCTGAATGTCAACTAAAACATTCAAATTTCACAGCATTTGAACCAAGTAGCCTTTTGTTACCTAACCAATACAACACAACTGTTTCCAATTTTAAGTGAGAAGTCAGTTTATATTGTATCTTACGATGCAGTGCAGTCTGTGTATGTAGTTACCATATTTCCTCTGCGCTGTGTCACTGTCCTACAGTGTTGTTTTGATGCACCATGAAATCTGCTGTCAGTCTGTTTGGTGTGTCTGTCAAAAGTGAACATTCGCTCTGTGTCATCAAACATGTCATCAAAAATACCTGCACCAAAACCTCCCTGAAAGTGTCTCCTGTGTCTGCTGTGGGACTCCTTCTGGGACCTGGAGTGTTCATCAAAGTGTCTTCGGTGACGGGAATGCCTGTTCTGACTGTAGATGTCAAAGTCCTTGAATATGTGATCAAAGTTGAAGCTGAAAGGCTGATGGGTACCTTGTTTATGCCTGCCTTGAGCTTCTCCAGTGAAGAATGCAGAAGAGTCACTGTACTGGTCATATTCTCTTCTTCTTGTTTCATCTGATAAAGTTTCATAAGCTGAATATGACAAACATGGAAAAGATTTAGCCATTAAAGAATATGTCTGGGCTCTATTCAAGACAATATTGACAACTGTTAAGTAATCTTTCAATGAGACAAAATAATGAAGTTGAACACACACACACACACACACACACACACACACACACACACACACACACACAGAATTAACCACACCCTCT